CCAGTAAATTTCAAAGTGGAAAATCATTTCTCCAATAAAACTACACTTAGAAAAAAATGATGTTAACGTGCATACATTCTACCCTCATTAGGACATCAGCCTCCAAGCCAAACTGTTTTGCACGTTATAAAGAGCTGTTTTTATGATGGATGGTGATTATATTGGCACTTTAATTGAGTTAGAAACCAAGGTACGTGAATGCTGGTGCTTGAGAAATGCAATTAAAAAAAAGCTGTTCAATGTTATTGGAATGTATCAGAACTCAATATCACCTTTAAATACTACAAGAATATATATTTAAAAAGTTTAATCAAATTTTTGAATTAAATATTTATGTGCATATGTATGTATACACACATTGCCCCTCAAAAAAATCTTTTCTAGTAGTTAGTTTCCTATCACATTCTTAACAGATCTCATTTATACTGTAATTGATCTAGATTTCAGGTTTATGATCAAAATTCTTTCTTTGTCATAGAACTGGAAGTATAGCCTTCTTATAGTCAAATATAGTATTACAGGAGATTAGCATGTAGTTGGATAAAATGATGTAAACTTAGAAAAACACTTTATACAGTAGAGTTTTTGACTAAAATATTCATTCATTTTCAGCCATATTTAACTATTTATTTGATTTCTTTTATTCTAGTTCAAATTTGTCCATCATTTAAAAAAATCTTAATCCATGTGCCTTTAAACTTATTGCTTGCATTTCATTGGTTTAGCATTCAGAAAATTAAAGAGAATTTATTTTATTTAGGGCTGTGATTTCCTTAAGGTCAAACTGCAATTTTAGAGAAAGAATATAGTGTTTAAATTATTCAGTCAAACTCATTGCCTTGAGATGAGCCAGAAGTCCATAGATTTTCTGAAAATGAGATGTCCTATATGTTATTTTTTTCCAGTCCAATCAAAAAAGTAGAATGGTCAGCATGAGAGTTAATGCAGGGAGTGTGGATTTTTAAGACATAATTGGGATGAGTGTTTTGAGGAGTTAATTTGCCCAAATCATGTTGTGGTTTAGCATACGACAACATCAGCACTATGAAGCGTGCACGAACCATTCCTGTCAATTATACTGGGCTGTGAATGGATCCGAGGGTTCCTTTGTTATAAATTACTATTTCCTATAATGCTTTTGCAGAGAGGCAGTGAAACGCTTTTAGATTTTGAATGTTAAAGAGCTGTTCTTGCCAGTTAATTTTGAGCCAGCTCAAATGTTTATAAGAACTCATAAAAACAGAGCAAAATTGAGGATGGCCCATTTACTGTTACTCTGCCTTCCTCCCACTGAACTTCCCCTTCGGTTCTCAGACGCTGCTGCCACCGCCATGGGGAACTTTTCCACGCAGTCTCATGGTGCTGCTAGTGCCCACTCTCATTTTCAGCATGAGCCATTAACATAAAAACTACCACTATTTTTGTGACTAGGCAGATCCCAGATTCCCCAGGTGGTCACATGAGAAGGTGTTGATGCAAGAAATGTCCAAAGCTGTAGAGAATTTTTATGAGGTTGTTTGAGCCAAACTGACAATTGCTAAGGAGTAAGATCTCAATAGGTTGAGAAAGTGCTCTGGAGAATGGCAGTTTTGCAGCTTATTTTATATATTATAATCAAAGGAGGAGACGTAAGAAGGGTTATATAAAATCAATTGGTGGTATATTAGGGGGGTGAGAGAAAGCAGAGTGGGGGAGTATATGGGATTGGATAAAAGGACAATATGGAAAAATACATACTTCTTTGGCTCGCATCCCGAGCTCAATCCACTGAGCTACGCCAGTCAGGGCTCGAAAATACATACTTCGTTTACATTGCTGGGCACAGGAGAGTTAACAATGAACACTTACAGCACATTGAGATGGTATGAAGGGAACAAGATAGCAAGAGAATGAGGGATTCTGTTGTCTCCTGCTCTGGTGCAGCGGGTTGTGCCCTGAGGGCCTGACAAAGAAGATTGCTCTGACATTTCAAAGGCCTGTTATCTTAGATGCAAAAAGGCAATAATAGATGGGCTCACTTAAGGTAAAGACTGACTTTTGTCAAGGAAGCTACTGGCCTAGGATGTGAGTACCCACCATGACCCGCTTTTTGCTGGCTTTTCGTTAGGAATTTTTTTGTTCAGACCATCCTGTGTGGTTGCTTTTGAGTTTGTGAGGCCGCTGTGCAGGCCTCCCCCGAGCTTGTCAGGTTTAGTACTTGTCCCCTTTTTTAGCTACAAAAGTTGATCTTAACAAAGAGAAGGAGAATAGGCATTGTCTGTCCTCACAGCTTGAAGCTAGAGGGAGGGTTATGAAATATTTCCAGGCACATTGTGTGGATGTACAGGTTCCTTTTGCTGGAGTGAGTTATCAGGCAAAGAGAGTTGTTTGTTACTGGCTGGAGTGCTAGGGGAAGCCTGTAGTTTGCCTTGTTCTCTGGGTCCTTCAGGAAGACCCTGGAAGGGACCATTGGAAGATGGCCCCATGAGAGTGAGATACTTTGCTGTGATCCCCCTGATGGCTGGAGTGACTCAGGACATCAAAATTCTGCAGGTTGCCTTGGGGTCTTGTGTTCTGTCTTTCCCTGGCTTCTTTCTGTTCTCATCACCTCACCCCGCCTTTGTTTTACTATTTCAAAATAACTTAGAGGCCTGCTGGAAGTTTTGCTGGAGGCTCATGGAAATCTGACCTTTTTTTTTGTTGTTACTGCTGGTGTTCAAAATGAATCCTTTTCTGCATATAGGCAGAAGGCCATTGCCAGCCAGTTCCGCGATCAGTTGGGTGTACTTGGGAGGCTCCCAGCAGCCAGCATAATAATACGGCCCTCTTAATGTAAATAACTGCAGCAGTTTTTGTTTCCACCAGCTCTAGAGGGGTTGGAAGGTTTGATCTTGACTTTCAGATGGGTCTTTCTGAGCTGAGGGAGGGAGGCACTGGATGGGAGAGGAGACCCCCAGGAGAAAACCAGAGGCATATCAATATAAAGCGATTGTTGCAGCGAGTTTCCATCTCTTCAGATGCAGAGATTTCTAGCAAAACAGAGTTCCAGTGAGGTCTGTTAGAAAGAGATCTGAGTTGAATGCATCTGGAGGTTTAAGTTTGAAGAGACATCACCATGGAGATTGGAGAGACTAGGCTGAGTTGATTAGTTCAAACTGCAAGTGGGGAGTGGGGAGTCTCGGAACAGGTGGCCCTGGATGGTCCCGGGCACCTGGCCCATCTGAAGCTCTGGTAGGAGGAAGCACCTCTGCAGGCAGCGAGGTGGGGACAGGTGTGAGCACACGATGAGGCTTTAGTTTGTGGTTTAATTAGTCTTGAAAAGCGAAAAATTGAGTTATATTGTATGTGTTCTAGAATCTGTTGGATGCCTTAGTTTTTTCTAAGGTTCCTTTGCCACACCTCCTTCTTTTCCCCTTTAATTTTGAACACCTAAAGGCCTCAGTCTGTAGATCCTTGATTATTTAGGAAGGAACCTTCCAACACAAGGAGAACTGTCAAGAAATGGGATTTATGTTCATAGACTCAGCCTGAGAAAAGTCATTAGTCTTAGCAGCCCCTTGCTAGGAGTGAATGGAGCAGGGCTCTTTGCAGGAGCGATAAATCTGCCACCAGATGTCTCTGTAGCCCACTCCACAGGAATGCTAACTGTACCTGAAGACTGGAAGCTGGAATCTGAGCTTTCTGGTGATCTCCTAGCGTTCCCTTACTTAATAAATTAGTCAGAAGCCAACCACTGAGGGTGTGTGTGTGTGTATGTGTGTGTTTGTGATTTTCTCTCCTGAGCTCTTGCTGCTTCACTGGGTGTTTCCTTGACCCCTTGTGATTTATTTCCCTGATCCCCTTTTGAGAAGGAGAGGAATTGCAAGTGCCCCCAGAATAGGAGATGAGATGTTGGCAGGTGCTGGCACAGACTGTGGCAGTGAAGCCTGCTCATGCTGTCTTACCCTAAGGTGGCTCTCTGGTGCTGTTACAATGCCAGGGACAGGGAAGAACTGCCACTGGACCCCAGGTTCCCTGCTGCTGCTCATGGGCTAGGGGCTGCCCATGAGCACCAAAACAGTGATTGACTTTACTGTTTGTTTAAATCCACTTTAGAAGCTTTACAACATTTCATTGGAAGATGGATGGGCAAATTAATTAAGCAAATTAAAGACATATGTGGGGGGAAAGAGAGTTGATGGTGAGTGCAGTATGTGCCTAATCTTTGAAGTAGAAGATGATGAAAAGACCCCAGCAATTAATTGCAAAGACAGTTCAGGGAAATAAAACCAGTCAGATTAGTTTGGCTAAATTTGGCATCTACCTCAGTCAAGCCTAGGTCTGTCCTGGGCCTTGTGATTTAAGCTGTAACTGCCCTGGGTATGGCCACCAAACGATCTGGCACGAAGTCCCTGCATGGCACTGCTGTCCCGTGTTCCTAATTTAGGAGAGGAGTAAGTGTGCTTCCTCCTGCAACATCATGGAAGACCACACAGCTACACAGCCTGTGGAGGACGAGGTGGCTTCTCACGGGAGGCACTGCCCTTCTGCATCTCTGCTTTCCGTTGAGTTGTCTGGCAATGATCTTAACAGATTTAGAAATGTTTCCAAATAAAAGGCTAGGATACGGAAATAAGAATCAGTCAATGAGTGAGTTGGTATCTGAAGAAAACAAGAGAACATTCAATGCAGAACAGCCAGCAACAACATTTGATTCAGAGTGACTCACCCACTTTATCAGATCACCTCCAAGACATCACTGGTGTCAGCGGCAACACCCTCTTTTGTGTTGGGTAGGAGATGGGAAAGGAAGGATCATAAAATGCAGTCCCTATCTAATCCCAAAACAGATAGAGCCTTAAAGAATTGCCAGAGATTCTCTCCTCCTCCCTCCAAGGTCACACATCCACATGATATCTTGTTTTGAAAAACAAGGTGGGGATGGGTTTTGTGAAAATACGAGGTGGCACCTTTGCGTGGAGGCTCAGTGCTTGCAGGCCTGTCAGTGGAGCACAATTCAATAGAATTCTTCTTTTTAACAGCTTACGGAGGGCGGGGAAGAGACGATAGAGGTGCCCCAGGAAGACCTGCAGACCTATCACCAGACGGAGCAGAAGGGCCCCCTTGAGGCCCCCAGCCAAGGGCCGTATTCCCTGAAGATCCGAAATGCCACCAGCTGCAGCTCGGGGACATACAGATGCACTCTAGAGGGGCCAGGAGGGCAGAGAAACCAAAGTGGCACAGTGACCTTGAGAGTGACAGGTGAGGTGACCTTTGCTTGCTTCTTGCAGAATGCGTGTGCACTTTCTGTACATCCTAAAATTGCCCCTCGGTCAGAGCCTAAGTTGGAAGCTTTGGATCATGTCTGTGGCTCACAGCTAAATTCTACTGCAGGAATGTCCTGACATTTTTTGCTTTAAATAAGCACACATCTACCCAGCCTGACTGGGGTAGGTGACAGATGTGGTCAGACCATTCATCTGGCTGTTGTTTAGTCCTGTAAGAAGAGTCCTTTGAAGCAAATAGAAAGTGTGTAAGTCTAATTTTTGGAAGATGGGGAAATTTTGTGGTCCCCTACACCAGGTAACTAATAATCTTCTCCTTTGGGGCCTTATAACCTGGCCTAAGGTAGCTGCTTCATATTTCCACCTTGATAACATGAGAACAGCACTTCGCTCCCACTTGATGGTGGTGGACTTGCCCATTACCTCAGCTCGGGCCAAAGAAAGAGTACAGCAAAGGAAGGATGTTCAGTGACAGCATACCATTTAGCTCCAGGGATTGATTGTCAAGGCAAGGGTTGTCTCTTTGGATTTTTTTCATAACTTATTTATGTAGTTTAAAAATGCCTTGCATTCAAGTTTTGCCCAATTCTTATTAGTGGCTAAGGCTTGAAATGATAAACATGTTATCATAAAGCCCCAGATTTTTAATTTTTAAAATTTTATTTAGGTGTGTGTGTGTGTGTGTGTGTGTGTGTGTGTGTTTAGAGAGAGGGAAGGGAGAGAGAGAGATAGAAAGGGAGAGAAACACTAATCACTTGCCTTCTGTACATGCCCCAGTCTGGGACTGAACCTGCAACCTAGGCATGTGCCCCTACCGTGAATCGAACCAGTAACCTTTCGGTTTGCAGGGAAACAAGATGATGCTCAAACAGCTGAGCTGCACTGGCTGAGGCCCTTGATGTTTTAGAATAGCTGTTTTTCCTGTTGGGTACTTGAAGGGAGTCTGATTTAAGATCATACTCTGATGCTCCCAAGGATACGATCACTGTTCATTGGTCGGAGTTTGGATTTGGTTCACTGTTGCACACACATGCACGTGCACCCCCCCACTCCCATAATGCTTCAGTTTTGTTTGCCTCTGTAGAACTTGACTGTGTCAGGTCACGCTGCATTCTCTGCTTTGTCTTCTGCCGTGTCCTGGTGCACAGTGGGCTGCCACGAATATTATTACATGAATGAGAAATGAGAGTGACTTGGCAGGAAGAGCAGAGATGAAAGAGAAACCTGAGTTCCTTTCCTTTCCTCTTCAAAGGCCTGCAAGTTGCCTGGCTCAGTGGCCAGACTCTAGAGTCTCGTAGACCTGGTGCAGATATTAGCTGTGTTGTTCTTTAGCATGTGATCTCGGGCAAATCTCTGTTCAATTCTAAGCCTCAGTTCACTCATCTCTAAAATGGGGATGATAACTTCTACAGCATAGGCTCGTAACAAAGGTTAAATGAGACTTTGTACTACAGTGCCTGGGGTAGACTGAGTGCTCAGTATATGTCAGGAACCATTAGGACAATGGCTCTCAACCTTGAAGTCTCAGATTCCTGTGAGTCTCCATCCCTAGACTATTGCACTAAGTTTTAAATCCAGTCTCAGGGGCCGACAGTTTTCTTGAGGCCCATCCGTGGTCCCTGGGGAGAACCCTGACCATCTGCACTCCGCTTGCTCCTGCCTGGCCTTTAGGTCGGCTCCGCAGGCAACCTTGCATCTCCAAACAGCGCGTCGGGTGTCGTGCCTGAGTGGGGAGACCGGTCTCTACCACGTCCCCTCCTGGGCTGAACACCTCACCCGCCCTCCCGGAGCGCTGCCACCACAGCCTGTAACAGCCCCTTGGGGAGCTGCTCCGTAGGCCGCCCTTGCCATCGGCCTTGGCAGAGGAGCTGTAATGATCCTGCAAAAGCGATAGCTGGGCGGCTCCCCTGCCTCGTTTCCCAGCCCTGAACTCCTCCCGATGTCAGGACACCTGGCAGTCTGCACAAGGCCAGTGAATTCAGATTATGTTCAGATCAGCAAACGGTGGTTTCTCTGCCATTTAGTCTAAATAAAAGCCAGGAAACACTGCACGTTTGAAATGGAGGCAGATGGGCAGCAGGACAAGTCTGGGCCAGACTCCTGCTCCTCCCACCTGCCTTCATCCCTCAGTCTGTCTGAGCCTCAGCTCCTTCCTCTGTGAAATAGGGAACCTCAGACCTCCTCAGGGGGCTCAGTGAGATGCTGTACCTCGGTCCCCTTGCACTCAGCTGGAGGCAGAGTGGGAGTGTACACTGGCTTCTGCCACCACTGTCACTGCTGTTGTTGCTGCTGTTCTTCCTACGGCGCAGATGTGAGGGCAGGGATGGCCAACAGGGACTTAAAAAGCAGGAACAAAGCATCTTTGCTTTTTAGTCTGGTAGAACAGAAAAGTCCTGTTAAATGGCTTCATGTTTCACTTATTTCTTTTAAGGATGCCATAAGGAGCGCAAAGAAGAGACTTTTAAGAAGTACAGAGCTGAGATTGTACTGCTGTTGGCTTTGGTGGTTTTTTACATAACACTCATCGTTTTCACTTGTGTAAGTATTTTCTTAAAAGACTGGTTATTATTACAAGATCACGTGGGGAACCAATTCGAATGTTTTGTAGATAGTGTGAATCATTTAACAGCAGGGAGAGAGTGTCTCTGTGCCCTGGGCTTATTGAGGCCCCAGACTGTGAGACTCTTTACAGCAAGTGCCCTGCTCATTTCTTGTCCCGTGGCTCTGCACAGAGCGCCGAGATGGCACACAAAGTAAGATACGTGACGGCAGTTTGAGAAACGCCAGAGGATCCCGCCGAGGCACCGGAGGGCCTGGTTGTTACAGTGGCAGAGAGTGAAACACCACCTACCTGCCCTCGGGACAGAGCCAGGGTTCTTGTGGGCAAGTGAGCAGCAGTGCCAGACCAGTGTCCTTCACCTGCCCTCGAGCTGCCTCCTCTTTCGGGTTCTCTCCTTGTATTTTGTTACTTCCACCCACTTCTTGAGAAGTAACCCCGAGAAGCCAGAGCAGTGGGGCGCACAGAGAGCGTCCTGTGCTAGAGGGTGGCTGGCCAGTGTGTAGGCGTCGTCGACATGGCTTTGAGCTATCGGCAGCAGCCTCCAGCTTAAAGACCCTGAGCCCCTGTCCGCCTAGCTGCTCACCTGTGTTGCCGGAGTTGTAGGGGCGCAGGGTCAGCTCTGGGCCTGAACCACCAGGAAGAGATCTTTCCCATATGTCTCGATACCAGCAGGAAGGGCTGGCTGCTTACGGATGGGGACAGATCTCACCCCAGAGCCGTGCCAGGGCTTCTTTCTTTTTTTATCCCTGGTTGAGTCCCTTTATTCACTTACTACCTGCCTCCCTGGCCATGTGCTCATCACTCTGGTTGCTATTATAGCCATTAGTTACTTAAAAGACTCCTGTGAGCACCTACTGTGTACAAGGCACTAAACTAGGCACTGCAGGGGATATAAAGAGGTGTAGGATATAGTTCTTCCTCTCAAGGAGCTTGTAATTTGGTCCTTAGAGTTATTTTCACATATGATAATTAGACTTACTGGACAGCAAATTTAAAGAGTAAAAGACTTTAGTTTCTTGCTGCAAATGCCTGTTTCTATGGGCACTGATTTTTCCATGCAGATGATTAACAGCTGGGGCTTCAAATGACCCCCATCCGTGATCGGTGAGTGTCCTGGCCGGAGTTTACAGGTAGCAGTGAAATAGTCCGAGTCCACTGTGGAGTGAGTGAGGTGGCCATTAGAGGCCATAGTGGGGCTCCCAGAATGGAGTTTAAATTGAGGTGACAACTGATGTCTTTTTCCAGTTGTTCAGTTCTCATTTATCTCTTTTATTTTTCAGAAGTTTGCACGACAGACTGTTTTTCCAGAGTTTTCTAAACCTGGCATGGAACGAGTTTTTCTCCCAGTCGTCTCCCCAAGCAAGCCTGTGGAGCTGGTGACTCTTCCCAAGACAGAGCTGGTGTGAGCAGGATTTCTGCAGGTCGTTTTCCCTACAGTCGAAGGCTCAGTGGTGTGCCTTCACGTCACACAGGACACAGGAAGCGTGTGCCCTTACCAAAGATGGCAGCCTTCCTGTGAAGTCCCCCACCTGACTGAAACATCTGAAGGGGATCCCACTGTACTCTTTGTGACCAGGGTGTGGAAAACCATCACGTGGCCGCACAGCGTGGGGCCGCCGTGCGGGGTGCTCTCCAGTGCTGCTCCTTCACCGCCACCTGCTCAGCGTTCTGCTCAGCTGTCTGGTCAACCTCTTTGACATTTTTTTCAGTTATATGAAAGCTATGGTGAGATGCAGTTGGAAAAGGGTCTTGGGAAGTATGAATCTCCAGAGCTGGCCCTGTGACAGACTCCTCAGGACAGCTGCACATCTGGGAAATGTCTCTTTGAATTTTCTGTGTTTTCTTGGACTAGCCCAGATGCTTTATGTCTGGGAGAAATGGACAGGCCATGCTGAGAGACAGTGGGAAATATTTGGCAAATAATTTTCTGCTGTGAAGGCTCTGCTATTACTAAGGAGTATTATGTGTGCGTAGCAATAACAGGTCAGTGACCTGTTCCTCAACAGGGCCTTTTCATCTGGGAAAGGCATCTACAAAGAAGCAATAAAGAAGAACGATACTTTTATTTTTATATCTCCATATATGCTTTTCAAAGAAGGACATGTGTTTTTTCTCCTTTGGAAACTGTATCCGCAGTCAGATACTGTTGCTGACTGATGAGAAGCGCGACCGTGGCGAGTGAGAGGCACCAGGGAGGTGACCGTGGGACGGGATCTGCTTCCTGCCCCGGGGAAGTCGGGGGCAGCCATGCCGTGGGGCGCAAGCCCCAGCAGCCCCACTGCCTGTATGACCGTGGGCCAGGTCCTGTGGTTTCTGCTCTCTCGGTTGTAAGCCAGAAGGCTGTTGTATGAGTTGACTGAAATAATGTGTGTGAAGATGCCCTGAAAAAGTATAAAGCACTATACAAATTGGAAGCTTTGTTGAGTCATTATCCTTACTATCGCAGTACTGTTCTGGGCAGGGGAGAATGACTGTCACTTTTTATGTTTCGCATTGTTCCAAACAAAAAGTCTGCAAAGGAGACTTTCCTTTGGGGACCTGAGGGGCCGGTCCAGTGGCCCGTTTCCGAAGCACCAGCCAAAAGCACTCCACGAGCCACTGTAACTGGGGAGAAGGGAATTCACTGAAGTTACATTGCTATTTTGGCAGCTGTGTTTTTCTTATCAGATTTGGCCTCTTCCCTCCATGTTTTCCAAAGAGATTGTGTCCCTTCAGTAGTGTGTGCATTGCCCACACTATTATAGAGTAAAAGGGGTGCCGAGTTGATTTAGGGTTTTTGCCTCTGTGTCTCAGCTTTCGTGTTATTAAATATATCCATGTGACTAGGGAACATTTTTCTTTTTATATTTAAAACTATTTCTAAGGCTTTGGCATGTGTGCTAGGAAGTCTGTAAACTGGTCAGAGAACCCAAAGCCCAGGTGTAATTCTAGAAATGAAAGGTTGGCTGAGTCCTTCCTCTGAGGGGGAGGACAGTCATGCCAGGCAGACCGTTGTTACGCGGCATCCTCTTCCTCCCAGAGGTGCCCTGAATCCAGCCTGGCGTTGCATTGCCCCCAGGTAGTACATGATCAATTTGACCACGTGCATGATGCAGGTAGGAGGAATGGAGAGAAGGAGGGGGTCTACTTCAGAAGGGTATGCCAGTCCAGGGCTCTGTACCTGGGATTCAAGGGGTTTAAGTCAAGAGTCTCAGACAGGTCCACTACCCCCAATGGTCAGAACAACTAGTGTGAGTGATTATAGTAGTTATAAAAGCATCATAGGTGAGTCCACTTTGGGAAATGGCTCTTTATAAAGATGAATGTCCATAGAATGTTTGTAAAAGTTACAGACTCCCTTTCATTGGAATCTGTTCACCGAAAGTGCTGGAAGGCTTGCAGAGGGCATCATACTGCCTTCAGAGGACTCATCGAAATGCTTTGCAGCCATTAGAATCATGCACCTGAAAAGCTAGGGAGGGGGAAGCCCTTCAGCCGTTCAGACTGACTGAGGCTGGAAACTTGATGGGAATTTGAGATTGGGTGGACTCAGCATTTTATTCCTAATATTTGGTATAAAAATATCTATGTGCTTGCATGTGTACGTGAGAGAGAGAGGGGAGAGAGATGAGGAGAGCCGGCTTTATCAAGGAGAGAATGTTTTCCACTTCAATTAAGGCCTGTGAGGTATTTCATAGGAAGGTAAATGAAACCATATTTAATTTTTTGTCTCCACTGGCAGAGAAATCTTTGTCCTTAGAACTACAGTTATAATAACTTAACCTTGTCATGTTTTAAAACATAAATACACGAATGTCAGCTGCACATTCTTCCAAAAGAAGGCCTGTGGTTTGTTTTCATAGTAACCCTGAACTGGGTCCACCGTAGAAAACACGGAGCTGCACTCACATAACCCAGCAGGGCCCGATTATGTGCTGGTTCGCAGATGAGATGTGACAGCAGCCTGTGGACGCAGAGAAAGCGCATGAGGCTTGTGTGTGACCCCCGGCACAGCCGAGCTGGGAACCTCAGGGTAATTCTGTCTGACTCCCCAGCTCCTTCCTCATCAGCAACTTAATTTGGCTGCATTACCTCACTATTGTTCAGTTCTCCATCTTTCCCATGTGAAAATAGCCCAAGGCCCACAAATCTTAGGATAGAATCTGTTTGCTTAGTTCAACAACAGTTATTCCTCATAATTTTGTCACTGTTCATTTGCAGAGCCAGGTTTTATCTAAGTGGTTGGTAAGATACAATCAATCAGTTCTTTGGTCAGAGTCTATTGTTACTATTTATTGTCTTCTTGAGACTAGATATGTTTGTTCTCGAATTTTCACCTTTGAAATTCTACCACCTGCCTTTTTGTAGCACATGTGTTAAGTGGGTAAAATGAAACATAAGTATATTTGCTGAACATATACTCAGAAGGGAATACTGTTGCAGGCACTTTACGTAGCACTCAAAACATACACAGACACACACACACACACACACACACACCATCATTCCTGTCAAGGAGCTGACAATCTAGTGGAAAGACAAAGAGGACCAGAGCCATCTGTCCAGCTACTTGTTTTACTTAGCATTAGGGAAGTACACAAGGAATGGACCAAACACACAAAAAGCCACTGTGGGTCCAAATTCACGTGGGAGCACTTAGAAGGCTTTAAAGAACTGGATCCCTGGATCCATTTGAACTTGGACTTGAAAGATCAGCAGGATTTTGAATGGTAGTAACAGCAAAGGGCCGTGGGAATGGCTGGGGCCGTCTCTGAGGCAAAAAGGTAGCGAGCATGTGCGAACAGAGAATTACATGAGAATTTTGTAGGCACAGGGCACCCACAGTCCAGGCCAAGTAGGAAGGAGGCAATAAGGGAAGGCAGACAAGTTTTAGAGAATTTGCACAGTGGGGCAGTGTTGAAGGGTTCTGGGTTAAGGAGCCATATAATTAGATTCATTTCTAGGACAATAACCAGAAAAACAAAGTGTAAGATGAAACGAAAAGGCCGCAGGAAATGGGAAGCAGGGGACCGTCTAGGAAGCAGATGGACGCCTGGGGCAGCACATCGACGGCGGAGAAGGGGAGACTGGAAACGACCTGGCTCCTGCACGATGTCTTTCCAACCCTTAGTTCTCAGTTTCCTTATGATCTGAGCTGCTGTATATACGTCTTATTTTTTACTTAGGTCTCTTTTCCTTTTTAAAAAATAACAGGACAGAAAGAAAAACTATTCCTTCTGTCTTGACCTCTACATAATAGGCAGGACTTAATCATCCAAGACCGCAGAAGTCCCCGGTGTCACAGCCACAGAGAAGACACACGGCTCCTCAGTCACAGGTGGCCCCGGGTGAGAGCCGGTTTCACCATCTGTTTCCACTCCTGCCTCAACTGTCCTGTCCGTCCGGGCAGAATACTCCTGGGTTTCGCTCTGTGATTTGATACCTGATCACCGATTGGTTGATTTGGGAAACATGGAATGCATCACCCTCGCTCTTTAGGTTTGTTTTTCTGTGTTTACAGCCATATAGCTAACATTTGCTTCTTTTGTTGGTTCTGTGCCTATGTACTTTTGTTCAAATGATTACATGCTACATAATTGCTCCTTAGCAATTTTTAAAAATGAAATCTTCCAGCAGTTGGCTGACAAACAGACCCTGCTAACAAAACATTAAGATAAATCGAAAGATACTTTCAAGGGGGCCTAATGGGTTGTGTGCGGGTAACATGAGATGGGTATGAATCTGTTGCAGAGAAAAGAAAAATGGTGCCATCTAACGTTAGTTGCCCCAGCGACAGAAGTTAGGCATGTGCCCCATCCTCTCCTTCAAAGAGAAGCCATCTCACTTGCAGATGTATCTTTTTTCTTTTCTACTTCATTCCTTTCTCCACATGGATTCCCAGGCAAGCACACAGGTAACCAAGAACTATCAGGAAAACACCATCTAGGTGGGGTGTGTTTGTTTCCATGGCTCCTGAGAAGTTCGGGTGAAGGGGGGTGGTGAAATTTGGGCACTGAAAGCAAATCTCTTCTCCTTTCGATGCATAAACACGTGCAGAATCCCTCGGGGCAAGGGAGACAGACCTCACTTAGTGGTTCATTTAGATTCTCCATGAGGAGGAGATATTATATTATTCTTTATTATAAGGGGCCATTTCTTCAAATTGGCCATTTCCCCCTCTCACTCTTTTTCCAAAGTAGCCTGTTTACAATCTATTCTTGTAGATTACAGTACTTAGTAGACAAGTGGAGAGAAATTCAGACATTGAAATGCTTTAAGACATCCCGCCGAGTTGGAACGCTTTTTTCAAAGGGAAAGAAATCTGCCAATGTGCATGTACATGCCTAGGTCCCCACAAGAGCCAGCTGGACAGCCCCTAAGCGGCTCCCATTCAGGAACAACAAAAGCCATGTCGGAAGCCAAGGGACAGGAGGCTGGGAACTAATAATAATTTTGCACTTACACAGCAGTTTTCGTCCAAAGACCTCAGAGTGCTTTATAAACATTAATTAAATTGCCCCACAGCTCTGTGAGATGTCTGTGTATCACTATTTCCAGTTTGCAGGGGGTGGAGGGAGGAGAAATGTATGCATGGCTGAAGCTGGAACCAGGCCATGCTGCAATGCCTGTGGATTGTGCACTCAGAAAAAGCAGCGGGACCTTTTTCCCTGTGATCCAAGGCTGTGATCATGTTCCTGCTGGGCCAAGGGGAGACGGTCTGGTGATAGAGTTGTCCAGGACAACTCCCCAGCAGGACCCCTCTTAAGCATAAAGGGAATAGAAGATCACCTGCACCAGGCTGGAAGGGTGCTGGCACTATCTTTCCCATCAGTGCATCACCACGGGCCAGATCCATCACTACAGACTCATTCCTTTAGTGGGACTTGTGAGGGAAAACAGGTCTCACCTGAGGTGCTGGCTCTGTGTGCTTGGAAGCATAGCCAGGACAGCTCGGAAGCACGACCAGGACAGCTGTGCGGGGAAGGGTCCTGATGTCTGGTCCGCTTCATAGAAAAATCCCATGATTGGTCATTGATGTCTGCCCTGCATGTGAGGAAAGATGGTTTGAGTTGAACTGTGTCCTCCAAAAAGACACGTTGAAGTCTGAACACCCAGTACCTGTGATCTTAGTTACAAATAGGTTCTCTGGAGATGCAATCAAGTTAAGATGAGGTCATAGTGAGTTAGAGCAGGCCCTAAATCCAATGGCTGGTTCCTTGAGAAGAAAGGAGAAATTTGCACACAGACACACAGAGAAGAGAATGCCACATGAAGATGGAGGCAGACATTGGGGTCCTGTGTCTACAAGCCAAGGGATGACTGGAAACCAGGAGGGGCAATGAAAGAGTCTTTGAAGGGAGTACAACCCTGCTCACACCTTGATCCTATATAACTGAGTCTGCCACTGAGCTGTGGTTTGAGAAGTTGCTGTCTT